TCTCTTTAGCCGGAAGAATCAAAAATTATTTCTAGGTTGCTTAAAAGACATTGAGCAGTACTTGTTGAAGAGCCGGTTTTTCAATGTCTGATTAGCACTAATCGGATGTAGAAGCTCCGGTTAAATACAACGACTGCTTTATCGATCACATGTTATATGCTTGATGTCGAAAACGTCGATAATGATGTTTAACCGGCAAGTAGTGATAACCAGACAATGAACAACCGGCCCTTAACCGTTTAGCGCCTGAAGCTAAAAGCCGGTTATTGTCCGCACCCTGGTTAGCCAGACTTAAAGCAATTTCAACAATATTAGAGAGTACACAATCGCATTCGTGAAACATTCGTGTCATTTGATACGAATGCGAATGTCGAATGCGAATGTGTAAAATGATGCGAATCATTCGCATAACGAATTCGAATGCAAATACTCACAACATCCCTGCTCCAGACACTCACAACCTATATTGCAGGATCAAACCAATGATAAAGATGAAGAATAGGACAAAGTTAAAGATAAATAAAAAGACAAGGATAGAGATAATGATGAAGATCAATATCAAGAAAAAGACAAAGACAAAGACCAAGTCAAAGACATAGCTGAAGATGAAGATGAAGATGATGAAGATGAAGATGAAGATGAAGATGAAGATGAAGATGAAGATGAAGAGGAACATGAAGATGAAAATGAAGATGAAGATGATTAAGATGATGAACATGAACATGAACATGAATATGAAGATGAACATGAACACGAACATGAACATGAACATGAACACGGACATGAACATGAACATGAACATGAAAATGAACATGAAGATAAAGATAAAGATAAAGATATAGATAAAGATAAAGATAAAGATAAAGATAAAGATAAAGATAAAGATAAAGATAAAGATAAAGATAAAGATAAAGATAAAGATAAAGATAAAGATAAATATAAATATAAAATATTTCAAAACTATCAACAGCTCTACGCTTTTGTTTTCAGAAATGTGCCGAATGAGTATTGGGATTTTTTCATGAGTGCAACCAGACTTTCGAGCTTGTGTTTCGTATTCACGGTATTCACGTCGTTAGACCTGCATGATTTTAATAAAAATTGGTGTCTAGACGCCAAAAAGCAATAAAATAGACGCAAACATTTTTCACAATTTTCTAACAGTTCGCTACAGCATCGAAAGCAAAATTCTATTCGACAGAAAATTCGATACTCAACGAAAATTTCGACACGGTTGCATAGCTCATAATACGAATTTCACATTCGAACTTCGATAACGAGCGAAGATCGAAAATCGAGTGCAACTCATAAGGTTTGTTACACACGAGCCCGCGGGTACCTGCGGGTACCCAAAACAGCCCAGAAAGCGTTCCTCACGCTAGAACAATGGGTAATAGACAGCGAATACCTTCCACTTTTGGATCGTAAATGTCTTCTTCTTCGTCCCGAAACAGTCCGGACTTTTTTTACGGGCAGAAATGTTCAAAAGGCCAATTTGAAATAATGTTGTTTGTTTACATCCGATAGTAAATTTTGTTAAATACAAAATTGGAAAATAGCACTAAAGGTTCAGAAATGTAGGTATTTGTTAATTTTATTAGCTATATAAGATAAATACACATAAAATTATTGTTTAGCACTTATTTGTTGATTTCGGGCACGAAGTGTTTTTTTGCGTTCCTCACACTCTGGGTACTTCTGGCCCGGGTTGACACATTTTTGACACTTGTAACTTATTTTTACGCTTTAATTACCGAAATAGCCCGGAAAGCGTGTGGAAGAAACTTATAATAAGAGCCGTAAATCAGTTAGCATGGAGAAACCTGCTGAATCATATGAACCAGACTTAATTCCAGTGAAAGTTTCTATTGAAGAGCGAGACCGCAACGCTTTGAGGAAATCGCCAACGGCTCTGATACTGATTCCAGTAGTGATGTGGGTAGCCAAACGATGAAGAAATTGAGAAATATTTACAGGTACCCCTTATACACAGACAAGAAGATCCTTTCATTTGGTGGAATCATAGACGGCCGCTGTGGTGTAGAGGTAAGCCTGGGTTCAAGCCCGGTTCAACCCAACATAAAAAAAAAACAAAAACAGGTTTTCTACAAACCTCCGAGTGTATTTCTGCCATGAAAATAGCTTCTCATAAAAATACAATCGCCGTTCGGAGTCGGCGTAAAACTGTAGGTTCCTCCCTTGTGTGATAACATCAATGCGCACGCCACAAATCGGAGGAGAACACTAACAAATACGTAAGCAACAATTTATTATTATTATGTTCGCAAAGAATTTCCAAATTTGTTTACACTGGCAATGAAGTACCTCTGCGAACCACCTTCCTCAGTGAACTCAAAAATAGTGTTTAGTGCATCGGGTAGCATTTATGTTGAAAATAGAAATAGGTTCTTTACCGGTAATGCGTAAATGCTTATTTTTATAATGAAAAATATGTAAATTTTTAAATCTAATAATTAATAAGATACTATTAAATTTGATTATGAAAATTAAAAGAAAAATTCTGAACTAGATTTCTAAATAGAATCTTCTATAATCGAGATCCGGAAATCCGGCTGGACTTTAACCAGTATCCGGCCAGATAGTCGGAAAACAGAAAATAGGCCGGATAAGCCGGATTCGGTATATCTACCGGATACCCGGCACATCCCTAGTATTAAGCGACTCGGAAAGGTCCTTCGCAATTCTGACGGAGCTGATGGTATTGCTAAGCGTAATTTTACACAGCCGTATCAGTTTCGCGGGGTAGCAGCTACTTTATGTGCTATCGAAAGCGACAAACAGATGGTGAGTGGCGTAAGGTGACCAGGTGGTATATGGTGGATTTACCAGGTCTAAAGCCGCACTGATACGGCCCACTCAGTTCGTGGACGGTGGGCTTCAGTCTTTCACATAATACGCTCGATAAGATCTTGTAACCTATGCTTAAAAGGCTGATCCCGCAATAGTTGGTACGCATGGCGTGGTGACCTTTCTTGTGGATTGGGCAGAGTGATTTACTTTGTTCCTCCCCCAATTACGATAGCGAATTACCCCATTCACACGAGCACATTCTTAATTCGTTTTGACAGTTCTCTGTCTCTGTTTTTTTTTTTTCCTCGCTACAAAATTTATGCAAAATGTAAGTTTTTGCTAAAAATATATAAATTTCTCTATTAAATTGGTGATGTATACTTTTATTAACTTTACTTTTAGTTCTCAGACAAAGTGCCAGTTATGATTTGTGAACTAGTTTCGATAAATTTCCTATTAAAGTTAGAGACGGCAGCAATTTGTAATAGCATGGTAATAGGATCTGAGTTACCAACAAATGAGGTAATTCGCTCTCAAAATTTTGTATGGCGAATTACGTAATCGAAGGGTAACTGGAGTGCGAATTACGAATGATAGCGAAATACGTAATTGGGGTGGCGCGGCAAAGCCGTACAAAACTCCAGTCGACGGGCAAGCGTTCGCCCGACTATATTGTACATAAGAGTTTGTGTATGTACCTTATCAACTCTTCGCATCCGCACTTGAATAGCTCAGCTGGCTTGTTGTTTTTCAGCCGCGTAATAGCTATTCGTGCCTCGTCAATGTCCGGCGGTGGGAATGCTACCATTCAATAGGGTGGAAAAGTGTTCCCTCCACAATTTAAGCACGCTATGTATATCGGTCAGTAGGTCATCATGTTTGTTCTTAGAGAAATTCTCTGGTCTTTAAACCTTCCCGAAGTTGCCCAACTTTCAGATACAATTTTTTAACGTTTTGGCTGCCGCTCAGTATTTCAAGTTCTTGAATCTCGCGTATTTCGGCAAAAAGCTCGCGTTGCGCCCGATCGCAGCGTAGCCTTGTGGGCGGCATGTTTTCTTTTCATTCGGCGGTACGCAAAAAGCGGGAAATGTGGTTCCACTTCTCGCCACAAGTATTTCGCTAGCTACAAGCTATTTCGCTAGCTACATCAGCAATAAAACACCACAACCACAGCTACATATTGTGGGCAGTTTGGAGCATTTAGAATATTTTTACTTTTGACAGCTCTTACTACATACCACAGCCTCACCATTCTGGCTAGCAAGTTAGAGTCGAGTGGCGAAGACGCTGGCTGTCTGTTTTGATTACAACTTTTCAATCTTGGGCTTTCCTTGTGCCGCTGTACACACATCTTTTTCTGCACAAAGGCGTGTGCTTATCTTGGCTGCAAAAAGACAGTGGTTTGAGTCGATGTTTGGCCCTCGGCGTTTACGTACGTCTAAAACACTTGAAACATGACTACCATCTCCTACAACATGATCGATTTGGTTTTTTTGTTTTACCATATGGGAACATCCACGCAGCTATACGATGCTTTTATGCCGGAACATAGTACTGTATATTACCATGTTTCGAGCCCGGCGAATTTGATCAGCCTCAGTCCTTTATCGAAAGTTTCGTCGTAGAGGCTGCATTTTCTGACGGTGGGGCCAAATATTTCTTCTTTGCCCACCCTGGAGTTGAAATCGCTGAACAGTATTTTAATATCGTGACGGGAACCGCGTTTGTATGTGCGCTCCGTAGAGCGTGGGTGCAAATGAGCGAGATGTAGAAGAATCTCGCTTTGATGCAAATTTCGTCAACTGAGGTAAACGATAGAAATCGGTGGCGCAGTGTTGCGAGCAGTCGCAAAAATTGCATGTTATAGCTTCAAAAATGTAAATATGAGGTATTTTTGAATATACTCGAATTAATATAAATCCAAAGTTGTAGAAGAAAATATCTTATACCAAAGACCCTACATACTCACAATTAGCTCGCTTCCGAAAGGATGTTCGGTTGCTAGCCAGAGGATACTTAGTGTAAAGACCGGAAGTCGTGAGTTGAAAGGCGATCAAAAACTTCATCTGCATGCGTATACGCAGAACTATCCACCAGTATCTAAACACAGCTTTTATCTGCAGCTTCTGATATTTTCACAGCCCAGAAAAAATGCAATCTTAAAAAAATTAAATTATTTAAGAACTTACCTTGTGACCTCCGTAAAATGCAATTTCTTCAGAATTCGTAATAATTCGAGAATGTATATGCCGTAAATAGCCATAGCGATTGGCTTCCTCCGCAACGAGCTGACCGAATTTTGGGGAAACCACTCGCATTATATGCGCTGTTAAGGATATCACGGCAACAGCTAGTGTTGGGCCTTTTGGAATAAAACACAAAAATACTTCAATAAGAAAAGATTAAAAGTACAAATGAATATCGTTGCTACCTGAAAAAATGTTGGCTTTCATTTTTTGTGTGGACCGCATTAAAGCAATACCAATAAGCATCAAATCGAAGCAAGGCTTGGTCACACTACTATATAAATGCGCTACTGAACTGGCAAATACTGCGATGTCCTCCGTTAATCTATTAACAATAAAATTAGCAGAAATAAGTAACTTCGTTGCTTTAACGTATTATTTAAAACTAGCTTTTGGCCCCGATTGGATGTTTTACCGTGGTGGATTTGTTTTTCGAGGTTTATTTTTATTGAAGAAGGTTCTAAGCCTAAACATTTGTTTTAGTTTTTATTTTCTGCAAATAGTGTCCCGAAAATATTACCAGCAAATTTAAAGTAAATGTAATAAATAAAATAAACAGATATCCCAAAATTACTGAAGGCCTATCAGACCTCCGAAAGTAGGAATGTAAGATATTAAAAAAAAAATCTCGAAACTCGAATAAACTGTTTTGAAAATAGTTTACCAGAGAAAATCACCCCGAAGCAGCCACGTTGATTTTGGTGTGGGCCTTAGTCAAACTATCAACCAGGTCCCTTACTCTGTAAGTCGAATCAAAAAGTAATTATTTTCGAAAGCAAAATTCGAATCGAACATACACTCGTACTCTATAGTTCGTTCGAATGAACTTTAGGAAATATTCGAAAAAGGTAAGAAGCACCTTTTGCCGCATGTAATGCGCAAAAGAGAATGCTGGAATAAAATTGTATCAAAACATGAAAAATTACATTAAGTTGTGTGTTTGAAAATAACAACTGATATAATTTAATTTTATTTAGAAAAGAAATGTATGAAATTAATAATTAAACCAACATGTCTAGTGGCGTTATGTCCGGACGAAGATAAAGCTTAAGGGACGCACTGAGTGCAACCAAGAGCAGTCCCAGATGGTTAAATAAATTATGTATATTTATTCTCTGCGATAAGAATATGTACAAAAATTAGCATCTGTAATTAAATAATTGGGTCCAGGAGTGTTCAAAAACATTAATTTTATTTTAATAATCTAATATCTACAAACGTTTTGCTCCAATTATAAAAAAAAAACGAATGGAACTGCATTTAAATTTTTATATTGTTCTATTCGACCATTATGAGTTTGTGATAGGACCACACTGATTTAATTTAATTTTTAATGTCTTAAAATATTGTACCAGACACATTTTCTTTTCAACTATTCAAGCTATTCAGGAGGTCCTGGATTGGCAATAGGAATTGCATTTGCCAATTTTGTGCTTGCTGCCATGGCAACCGTATGTATTTTATTATTGTGAATTTACAAATGCAACGAATATGCAAGTGCAAGAGCATATGCACAAGATACTGAACAGCCCTAATGATTTTAAACTGTTGAGGCTTTGTATTACGTTTTTTTACCTTATCTGCAATTAAAAGATTTTTTCATGAAAATAATAGGGTAGAGCGAGGAGGATTTGACAAAAGCAGGATTTGTCATTTTCAAATATAACGCCAACCTTGACAAAGACAGAGAGCAGAAAAAGCAATATTTGATGCCTGATCACTGTTGAGCATTGTATACGAAGATGGCAGTCGCTTCTCTAGTCAGCTTGTTGCAGCACGGGTTTTTAGATTTTGTGGTATTTTCTTGCTAATTTTGCCCACTTAGTTTTTTTGCGTGAAGTGTAATAGTGGCACGTTTTTCCTGTTACTCTTCGCGATTTCAACTATTAATTTTCATATAAAGTGTATTATTAGGCATGCTATGCACATCGTGCGATCTCAAATCGGTGCGGTTTGCAAAGTATTGTTGTATATTTGTATTCAAAGTAATAAATATTTCAAATGGAAACTGCTGGAAACACATCATTTACGTTATATCCATCGATTTAGTGCCAAATTTTTCACTCTTTGTTGTAAATCCTCCGAAAAAGATTCTGTAAATCGCACCGATTTGAAATAGTGAAAATTAAAAAGATCGGATAACTATAACCTATAGCTCCCATACAACTGATTGTTCATATGAGATTTTTCGTTATAATTCATCCATTTATGTAGCTAGGACCACGAAATTTCGCGCTGTTTTCACTCATTATCAACAGAAGACTTACAGTGAAAATAACAAAGATCGGGTCACTATAACCTGCAGCCCCATACAACTGATTGTTCAGATATGAGGTCTTTTATCATAACTCCTGCATTTATGCAGCTAGGAACATGAAATTTCGCACCATTTTCACTCATTATTAACAGAATACTTACAGTGAAAATAACAAGGATCGGATGACTACAACATATATCTTCCATACATCTGATTGTTCAGATATGGGATTTTACTGTAAAACTCCTT